TGCGGAAAAATGCAATCGAAATGCATTAATAATGGGAGACCTAATGCGACCCTCGTCCGTTGCCCATCGGCCGATATTACGTGCACACGGCTCGTAAATGGACTAATTACTCAAGATTACGTAACACCTTCCTTCACAACGTCATTAGTCGTTTCGCGTATCCTCGGCACGTTGCGGAATAATATTCGCCCGATGGGCGTCGAGACATTTAAGACGGTCGATTTAGATCTATCGTGAAAAGATAGAAAGAGAGAGACCACCATCCACGCGTCTCGCTAAAACTCGATCCTTTCCAATCGACGCAAATCGAGAGATCAGGGAAAACAACTTGCCATTCCCTTGGGTTGCGCGTCTCTAATTACCCTGACTTTTAGGCTTGCCTCGTTAATTACCATTCGGTAATTAGACTCGCGATGTCAGAAGGTGACGTTAATATTCTAGGATGACTGGTTTTCTTTCTGCGTCTAACCGCGGTACTACGGTTGTTACAGACAATGCGAACGCCAGCTGTAAACGACGACAATACATTTTCCGCGAGATACGCGATGTGCGTGTTTCTCTATTATTTTAGTACAATGGAATAAATCGCGTTGAAAGATAGAACGCACTTCTGTAGACAAAAAACGACTTTTTATTATATATCGGGCTGCTACATCTACGAAGTCATCGTGAAGATACCGAAAGCGCAATTTCTCATTAAAACGAGATCTCACGGGCGATCATTTCCCCTTTCATATACTGCAATAATTAAAACGTCCGATTTATAAAGATTAATCGTCCCTAATACATAATAATAAATGTACGTTAATTCTGCCTCGTTTCGCAGTTGGGGAAATCGCGACTTAGCTCACGCCCCATGACGCGATAATTGTTCCGACCGAACCTTAACACCAGCCATTTACAAGGGCAAATACCAAATTAAGGGTTAAGCATCGATCCCGCTTCCCTCTTCGCCCGACCGATCCTCGCGATAATAACACTCCTTGTCTTGACCCTGTGACTTACGACCCTGCAGCTAGCTAAGACTATCCGCTCTCGGCCTCACCGCGCGGAGATTCGCGGACAGACGCGCAGATATATCGATCAAATCGCGACGTTTTCTACGAGATCAGACCTGAAGAAAGACGAGCACGTCGTCGCCTTCGTTGCTGAATCTACTGGGCTATTATTCGAGTTCAACCGGCTGCAGATTTAATGAGATCGCGAACCAGCCGCCTGATCGTAACATTCGATTCGCCAGTCTGTCTTCGTCTCGTGTTGCACGAAGCGGATGAACTTGATGGCGATTACGTCATCGTCTTACGATCGAGCTGTATCCGTAATACATCTGGAGCAATTCCTCACTCCGTCTTCGATTTTGTTTCTTCTTATTTCTTCCGTGGGTCACACGATGTTTAATCATTTTTCACAGTATAGCATAGCACAGCGAATCGAAATAACTTTAACATAAGTAGCTCTGATCAGTATTCGTGGATCCAGTGATCATTTTCTTCGACTACGTTATAAACAATTATTTATTAATCACTTTTACAATATTACATTTTTAAGTTACATAATCTTATTCCTCAGATTTTGACTTTTAAAATGACAAAACAAGTTTAAACAAAGTTATATTAATTTAAAGTATTACTGAACCCCAAATATTAGTTAAGGTTTCAGAGCAAATATCGATTAGGATTAAAAACAGGAGTAAATCAATTTTTAATCCTTAAACGTCACTACAGGAACACTTGGTATCCCCAAATAATTTGATTGCTTTTATATTTTGTAATTAAAATTAATATCCTTAGAGTATACATTGCATTTTATCCATAGCTGAACGAATTATATTATGTAAAAATAAAAATTACACAAATATGATATAATATACTTATATTTTGTTGCAAGTTTATTTTATGAATTTTTTAAAGTACATTTTTTAGAATACTAATTAGCTTTTATATTTTTATATCGTTTTTATATTATTTATTAATGTAATGAATGTCTCTTAATTTAATCAAAACATCATTTAATAATTTTCAATTTCTTTAAATTACATATTATAATATGCAGTTTAGATCTTTAAAGTGCATGTTAAACAAATTCAAAATACAAAGCTTATAAGGTTACAAAAATTATTGTGGAGGAAGCAGTTTCACATGTACCATTTTGGAGGTCATATTATAGAAGTCTATAAACTTCCCGCAAAGTCTTTTGGTGCAGACAATAGTGCTTTTGGAGGTGCAGAAGCAAGTGTTGCACCCATCAAAGTATCGTTTTCCTGGTATACATTTTCCGGCGCTATATAAACTAAATGATGAAAATGATGAAAACAAAATTATTATATATATTCCCTGTTTTGTTAACTATTATATATATCTCGCTTGAGCATAATTTAAATAATTGATTAATAATATTTATCATATTTATAAACATAAGAAACGTTAATTATTCACCTTGCGTAGCTGATGCTGAAATCAAACTGATGCTAATGATTATAAATATCACAAATATCTGATATTTGGATGTCATAGTTTTAGCACTTCATATAATTCAAATACTTCGAGCGTCGACTTCTTTTTGACAGAACTTGATACGACGAGATCTTTATATAAGAATCCCTCGTTTACATATTTCGTGCGTGACTGTAGGTACGGTTTACTTGGGACTACAAATGTTTCGAAGCGTTTGATTGACCAATCGGAAGAAAGAATTTTACTAATTAACCAATCAAAAAAATGCTTCGAAGCATTTATAGCATCAAGTGACTTTTGATATCTGGTCTGTGTTTTCTTTTTATGGCTCGTATTATCTTTTTTTCTCACGAGACTGTGTAGACTGGTTTGCGCCGAGTGGTTATAAGACACACTTGAAAAGTCAAACGCTCGTTCAAACAGAGTTTAGAAACAATGTATACATAAGTGATGACGCATGAGATTATCGCATGTATATGTAAATGCTTTATTAGCATCTAACTGTTTAAACGCATATGGAACTGATATAGATTTCGTAGAATCTCGAAAGTATCCGAATTTGTCATATATGCACGCGGTTAAAATAAAATGAATCAGTATATCATATGTCATTTGTAATGTTTTCGAATATTTAATTTTTATTTTCAAACTAGATAGAATTCATATTTACAGACTAGAAGATAGAAGATAGAATCACTAAGAAAAAATTTATTTACTCTAAATAATTTGTTTCTTTATTAATAGTTAGTTTCAAGTAAACAAATTGTTTATAGAGTTAGAAAATTTTTTTTATCAACGTCAAAAGAGTAAATTTATATGATATTTTAATAATTATTTTCGCACTTTGTATGCAATGCAAGAATTAATATTTCTTGACTGGCGAACGAATAATAGCTTTATAAATATGTATTGCGTAATATGACTTGCACATTGTGATCATTATCATAATTAATGATATCATAATATCTGATATTATATTTTATAACAAGCTGTTTTATTGATAAAAAACGTCGAAGTTATTACGCTGATGGAATCAAGATTATTATTTTCAATGCAACAACTTTACTTCGATTCAAAATTAGTGTAATAGATAAAAATATATGATATCTCAGAGAAATGACTAATTTCTGAACAATATAATACGTATAAAAATCAAAATAAGCACACACACATATACGTGTGTGTGTGTGCATGCGTGCGTTCGTGCGTGTAACATTTTTATGGTGAATGAAAAACAAATTTATATGTATCTTTTTTTATTATTTACATTGAGGCTTATCGATGGAGGATTAAAACGCTAGATTTTAGCATAGCCATATCAGTGTAACAATTACGTCTCTCTACATTGAAGAAAAGTATTCTTTACATAAGTCCTGGAATCTCTGGATAATTTAGTTTATTCACATAAACACGGAGGCTTAATGAGACGGTCGCCACCACACCATCTAGTAGTGCAAAACCACTTAGATTCAGCTAAATCACAAAGACAGCTATTGCATCCGTTATAATAGGAAAAACCGACTTCACATTTGGGCAATGATGTATCTGTGAAAGACAGACATTTTGACATTATTTTCACATGCTGTGTTAGATATTAAAGAGTTATTAGAAAAATTTATAAAAAAAGAAATAAAGATTTACCTAATTCTCCTTGAATTGAAACGACCAATGTGATCATCACGATCATCAATGCTAAGATGGTGTATTTATGTGACATTTTACTCTGTTGCCTAATACTTTCGTTGTATTACGAAAAATTTGATTCGAGTATAAATTTTTCACTGAGGCAAGCCGAATATGATGAGAGATTTTATACTGTTCTTATCTTATACTGTTTGATCAGGATGTATGATTATCAATATGATAAATACGATATAAGCGTATTATTTTATTGATAAAAGGAATCATTATCAAATTAAAATTGCCATTTTCCTTGAATTGAAGTGGATTATAAATGATCTCATCTTGATTTAAAGCAGATGTATTAAATAAAAATATAGAATATTTCAAGACGAATAACTACTATATTATAATGTCGCATTATTGATTATATCGATACATAACATTTCGATTATTTAATACATTTTATAGTTTAATACAAATCTGTTTTTATACAATAGAAACGTATATTTAAGTTCTATCTTTAATATTTAACTTTCTTCACGCGATATAAATGCAAATTAGGATATAAGTCTTGCAATATTATTTATGTTGTTAACAGCACGTGCAAAATTCATACGAATGAATATAAAATTTATGGTATATGTATTTCTAAAACAGAAGATATAAATATGAAAACATGAAATTTATGTTGTCGTAAAATGCTTAAAGATATGGATTTTGGTTATATAAGTATACACGAATAACAAATGTGAAGGTTAATATTCTGATGTGATTGACAAATTTTTTTAACCAATTTAGCTTCGAGAAACGCAATTTTTTTCTTTAAATAATAAGGATATTATATAATATCGACACATGTCCGTTAATATCGACATTAGTCTGTTATCGTCAAGATATTCTCATAGTATTATTTATCTGTTACAGGCGAGAAGCCATATCAGTGCACGTGGGAAGGCTGCACGTGGAAATTCGCACGATCGGATGAGCTGACGCGGCACTATCGCAAACACACGGGCCAAAAGCCGTTCAAGTGCCATCTCTGTCAGCGATCGTTTTCGCGGAGTGACCACTTGTCGCTCCACATGAAGAGGCACTGATGATGAGGACCGCCTAGAGCATCGATGTGAGAGAAAGCGCACGCCGATCTGCGGAAGGAAATAGAGGAAAGCTGGAGAACGATCCTCGGTAATCGGCTAGTGATCCTGAGCAATCCTAGACGAGAAACGACGATATTTCTTACATTTGGGACCTGATGAGCCATACCATGTGTCGGCCCGTTTCGAACTTTAGGTCGGACCGGCCGGCCGGGCAGGCAGCAACTAGGAAAAAGAGAAAATAAATCGACGAAGCAAACAAATCGCGTTTATTAGATTTAGCGCTTAACCGCGAGCTAAGTAATCGCGGCGCCGATCAATTTTGGTCGGCTGATTCTCTCGGTGCTGTCTCTCGCAAGCCTTTCCGATGGGATCTCTGCGGAAAAGAATGGCCATAGCTGCGACAATTGGATTGATGTCGGAGTTATGAGCGTGTCGAATAATCGAGAGAAGATAATATTTTATCAGTTATCGGGCTTTAACAAAGGAATGTTTCACGATTATGAAGGAGGAATGATCCGCTTGTGCGATCGAGATCGTCTGCAGATTCGGCACGATGAGACACGTATCGTTAAATATATCTGTTCTCTTCTGTGTTTCTAGCCAATTTTTACTTGTTCGATTTTCCAGTTTGTTTTCTTTATACACACACACACGCGCGCACACACACACACACACACACACACACAAACACACATTTAATTAAGGCCAGCTCAACTAGTCTAGAGCACCATATATTGTATGTATCGTGAAGAAGAGAGCCAGTATAATAATTAATTAATTAATTAATTAATTAAGGTAAATAAATGGTTAGTATGTAAGTTAAAGAATATATCGAACTCCGGTGACGGAGCTTGGGACTTAGCATGCTCAGTTAAATAAACTACAATCGTGATCGTAGACACTACGTAAAGCATTGATAGAGCAATTTTTCGATTATGCACAAAGAATTTCGCGTTTAGAGACGGACAATCAATAACGTTTTATTACGTAGTAATGAAGCGTGATTATTATAAACGTCGGCATACCAGAAGCCAGTATTATGTAACAAGCAATATCACCGATGGCTTTATATGTATGATGCTTTCCAAAATCTCTTTTTAATCACAGAAAGGAAGAGCCTTCTTCGATCGTAATTCGCAAGTCGTTTTTGAATTCCACGCGTAAAGGTGCCAAAGTAGAAGGTGCAATCACGAAATATCGTAAATAGTATTTTACGAAGAAAAACAAGCATAATCGAGTAAATTATTCTTTTCTATGGCGCCTTGAGATTTTCAATCTTGAATGCATAGGTTTCACTACAAAACTTCAAACACTAAATAGTGACAGTGTTACTCCGCATTTTACGTAGGCATCCTGAAAACTCAAGAGCTCAGTAAATATCTATTTGGGCGTCGAAATATATGCTCAAACATCTTGTGTTGATTATCGAAAGAACGATTCATTGTTCATATATATTTATATCGTTCTTTACGATTTTCTATTTACAAATGATGATTATATCAGGATGTCTTGACACTTTGAATTTGCGATTTCAGGATTACTAAGTCAAAAGGGCAATTTAGATTTTTACATTTTAAAGATTAGTTACTAACTGGATAAATTAATAGATTTCGATAGAAATTAGTTTGTGTAGGGAGACAGCAATGTTTAGCCAAAGTTTTGTATTTATCAAATTAGTAATGTATATTTATAAAATCAAACTGTGGAAGTTAGTCAAATGTTTCAAATGCCAAAAGTAATAATGAACATTTAAAATGGCCATCTTACATTTGATGTTAGTGTTACAGCGTTTTGGAAACATATTATATAAGCCGCATTTATGGATAAATTCTTCTGCCAATAAAGCAGTCTTTACTTCAATCTGTGAAAATCGTTTTGTAGAATCTTTTTGGTATTCTAACTATATATTTAATTAACCTTTTAGAATTTGTTTTTTTTTAATATAAATGTTGTATATTTAACTCAAGTTGATGTTATTTATCATTATTTTGATGTTAAAATGATATCTTTAGTGTCAAAATAGTGATAAATGGCATTTGCTATCTGGGTAATGATTTGATAAACATCCAATTTTGACTAAATTTGTTGTCACCTTGTACAGTTTTTGTAGTTTTGATTTAATATTAAGACAAAAACGTTAATAAAATTAATTGCATAATGTGATGTAAATGTATGATTATTCAGTTTCAGTCGAATGAAAAGATGGATTGGCTATTGAAAATTATATTGAAGATATCGAAATCGCTAATTCCGCGTGTCAAATAATTAGACGTTAATGAACACGAAAATCTTAATGCGCTCGCTTGATAGCGTAATACATTGTATACATAATCTCTAGAAACTTTGCAGAACGCGACATACACTGCGTAGGTGGCAGATGTAGCATTAGCCTGTTTCTTTAAACCGCGTTTACGCCGCTGCATGAGTGCAGCTGAAGTTAGTTGGGACACCTATCATGAAGCCAGTTGAGACAACGGAACAAGATGCCAGTATATCCTAGAGCCAGTTTATATCATTAGAGAGAAAACCTCCGCATGTAAGATTAATGCGAGGGTCGATAAATTAACATTTGTTACGTGTTGTATTCTGATAGGGGATAGTGCCTTCTAATGTTAAGGAAGAGGGACGCTGCGTTAGGCCTTAAGTATTACTGTTAGTGCCTTAAGTCACGCGAATCTTCGTGCTTGTACACCTTTCATAATCCGATCCTACGAATCCTCGCCCGGAGGACCAGTTCGGCGCGCTTTATGGTATCTTCCCTGCAGAAGTTACTAATCGGATGTCACCTCGACTCACATGAAGCTCTGTTAAATATGCACGAAGTTTTCGAGATATCAGATATTGAATCCGGGAATGAAAATTATATCAAGCGAATGAGGAATGAGATGTTATACTCGTAACGAATGGAATGGAATTTTTAACGAAATTTTTAGTTATCTATTGAATGTCGAATCAAGCAGCACTATGAGATTCATATTGACATATCTGATATTCCTGGCGGAAAGAATGACAAACTTTTTCTCTTTTTTTAATTTCAATCGAAATGTTGATCGTTCATATATACCTATATTGTTATATGATTATTGATATAATCGAATGTATTATTTCTTCTTTCATATAACTTTTACAATTTAGAATATAATTACTTATACATCTTCACACATTTCTGTATAGATCTCATTGCATGCTAAAATTTTGGAATATCCAGTATTTCACACACTCTTTAACATATCGCATGAATTGATAGGACGGATAAAGTAATAGTCTAACATTCTTGCTTTTTTGCATAATTTACTATGCAGGCTGCTCTGCTGCAGTAGAATCTTTATAGACAAACTGACAATAGTCACGTTTTCATAATATGTATACGAATTATTTTCGTACATTGTTGTAATCATAAAATTCGATAATGAAGAAAATATCCAAGATACTATTTTGATCGTACTAATTGTATTTATCTTTGGGGAAATTATCTCTAAAATGGTTGTCAAAAAAAGCGCTGAGCCTCACATGAACAGTGAAAATGTTATTGATGTAAATATTGATGTCATAACGACATCATCTTTTATTTTCGTTCATATATTTCTGCTGACGCATGTCGTCCTTCGTATGCCTTTCATTCAATTTAGATTGCTGTTTGAATACTCGTATTAACGGAATATCCAAATCCCTTTTGCGATATTGAGGAAAATTAATTAAAGGTCTTTTAATTTAAACTATCCTGAATTTGAATAATTGTTTTTGTAACCTTTCGTTAAGATTATCATCTTTTAAGTTATCTTTTTTGAAGTTATCACATTCGATTATCAATTTTATATTATAATATTCTTGTTTATGTTTACATAATATTATATCTTATATTATCTTATAATATTATAATTTCTTAGATAAGAGTTAATTAAAAAACTTTATTCAATTGTTTTTTT